TCCTTGGTTGCCTCATCCATCTCTGGGACTTGGCTAGAAGAAGGGTCCCCTTGGGCGTGGTCAATTTTCCAATGCGATCTACCAGATGTGGCATAGCGAAGAACAATACAAGCATTGTCTTAAAGGCCGAGTGCGCACGTATGGTCATTGCATGTTGTCGCACGTGCGGGTTTTGGGTTGCAGTGAATGAAGTAAATGTTTTGTACTCAATGGTTTACGCATATCTGATATTCGATCTGAATCTACTTTGGGGTTCTCCTGGCAATAAACCCATTAAGTTCTACTGCATTGGGAGTATGAGCACGTTTCGCTAGAGTTTTCCAGATGTTTTATGACACTAGTGCAAAATGATTATGAGCAGGAAAGTTTTGAAGTCTTGAATACAATTTTCATGATATTACTTGCCAGATGTTTTATTGCCTTACTAAAAGGAGTCTCTTATTCTCAAACATTCTGCCCGCCATCAGCAATTCTATTGATGATTATTTTTCTTGCACAGGGATTGGAAGGACTGCTACCTTATGGGTAGGTTTTACCATGGTGGTGGTCGCTGTTTTTATTATAACGACTCTGGTTATAGTCCATCGGTGCCAACGTGACTTTCATCTGAATACTTGCTTAAAGATTCTAATGGCCTTGAATTCGGAATGGCCTCAGTTGTTACAGTTGTTTTGTGATTTCTTTAACGTGCACAGCTTTCCCCCCCCTTTTTTTGTCGTAGATGTAACGTTGCCGATTTTATCACGGCTTTCCATTTTCTCACTATGTGGGCGCGGCTGGTGGATTAAATTCCATTGAGTGCTGTCCTGCGAGAGTATGGTTGTAAATTTTATTTTCCTTGAGCTTATGAAATTGACCCTTTTTAATTCCCCCTTTTTTTTTACTCCTGCAAAGGTTGTATCACAGTTTGAATACGTATGTGAGGGATGCCTCGGTGAGATGCGAATCGCCGAAAGGTGGCTATGAGATCTTCATTGTTGTGGTTACTTATAGTTTCGAGATACACAGCTGATATGGCAAACATATAAAAATAAATGCAAGACTATGCCTTCTGACTTTTGCCCCCTGCTCTTTCAGGTTTTAAGTTTATGGGGCTATTATATCACTACAGTATATGAGAATGGTCTGGTTGGCGTTACTCGAGATAGTGGTAGTTTACCCATCAATTTGTTGGGCTCGAATTCACTTCTCCGTGCGCATACACTATATTGAAGAGTTTTTCTTGACGAGTATCCTTCTGTCAATTTTCAAACATTGTTGCCGTTCGTGTATTAGTGGGAATGGAGTATGCTGTGAGACAATGGGACATGGCCCATATGCACGTATGCTGGTGGCCTGTGGCCGTCGGGTTCATTGCTCATCATAAAATTTAGGCAGCACGTGGGTTGCCTTTATCTAAAGAATTTCATTAAATCTTCCCTTGACCAATTATGCTTAGTTGAGTGAATGAAGAAGTTTCATGTTCTCCTTAGTCTTGCAATATTTTTCTGGAGGTGTTGTCGACTGTTGTCAACTGGTATGGTACCTCTTTGTTTTTGTCTTTTATGACTATGATTTTATTGAGGTCCCACATGTTTTGAGTTAGGTATGACTAGGTTTAACTCCTGGTTCCCTTCATATGCCTTATTTCTTGTCCGGAGATTAAACATCTCCTTTGATCCTGTCTATCTTGATGCTCTCGTTGACATATTGCTTGTCAGCGGCTTGTTGCCTTGTATAGTGAATTATATTTTGGTTGTAAGAATTTGAGCTTGTACCTTGTCGGTTTTGCAGAATCGATTGTAATGTGCGCTGTGTCGCTAAAAAATCAGCTTATGTGAATATGTCTATAGTGGATATATGCGAAAGCTTGATGCTTGATTGGATCGCGGGCATAATGCGAACTTGTGCTTATGAGCGCCTGACCACGAGCTTGAGTGTCGTAGAGCTTGAGCGCGAGTTAAAAACTTCAATCATCGTGGGTATAACACGAATGTGAAATTTGAGTTTGTATTGCGGGCATAACGCGAAATGTGAACTTGTATGTATCACGAGCATAACGCGAATTATGAAGTTTAATATGTTTGTATCGCGGGCAAAACGCGAATTATGAGATTTGAATTTGTTTGCGACATAACGCGAAATATGAAATTGTATGTATCGCGGGCATAACGCGAATTATGAATTTCAATTGTTTGTATCGCGGGCAAAACGCGAAATATGAGATTTTATGCAAGCCTGACCACGTGATTGATTGTCTTGTTCTAAAGGGTATGTGAAGCACAGAATCGAAACTACTAATGCTAGTTTTCGTAGAACTATAGTTTTTCTTCTTCAG